AGAGAGAGAGAGAGAGAGAGAGAGAGAGAGAGAGAGAGAGAGAAAGGGTGAGACAGAGAGGTTGAGCGATACAAGCCAAGAGAGGAGCGAGACAGAGAGAGAAGTGAGTGAGTTGCTTACATTGTAGATGATGGTGGGGGATGTACTGATGAGGGCAAAGCGACTCAGGTTCTGTATCTGCATGATATGATGTTGCGCTCCTGAGCGCTTTGGGATATGAACTCTGGCTTTGTATAATAAGACCATTCGTTGAAGTTCAGACCTGCGCTAATCTGGTCTCACCATCTCTGGAGTACGGTGTGGATTTTGGTGTGAACTCTCATTGTGCATGTGCATGGAGTGACAATATAAGCCGTTCGTTGCAATTGGTATCGGGGCTGGAACTCGCTGCATCCGCTGAGGTTGGTTATTTGCAAGATTAAGGCCGGTGAGGAGAAGAGTTGGTGTTGACATCAGGGTTGTAGGCCGAAGAAGAGGTGGCCAGTGGAGGGGCTTGGAGAGAATACATACCTGCATGCTGGAAGCTGCTTCGTGGAGCGTCTTCAAGGGAACGTTCACTAAGTGAAGTGCCTCGCCCCCCTGAGCCTGGTGAATGCTTTGATTGATGTATGAGTGCTGGTTACCTTCCGCATCTTGGTGTCGCTGATGCAAGTCAATCTGATGATGACATATGTCTCACACGGTCTTGACTCACCATCATGTGTATGATTAGGTCTAGGGTAGAAGCTCGACAGCTGGATGTAATCACCCGACAGTAAGTAGCATGGGCATGAGCGGCGAGCGCTCGTAAAACAACTCATCTAGCCCCAAGGACCAGTACCGACCGGCATGCGACTGAATTCGGTGATGACACAGTGAGGAGCTGTAAGTCTTGAGATGAGAACCTTCAGTAACTGGTGGGCACGACGTCCTGTCTGTGTCATTAAAGAATTCCTGAGGTCTGTGCTGGATGACCTTAAACTGCTGATTGCCCACCATCCTGATAGGCGATCTGTAGTGACACTGTGGGAAAGGAAATATAGGTCAACTACCAACATAGTAAGTACATAGTAAGTATTAGTTAAGTGTTGAGGATTTGGTCTACGTAGTGAGGAGGTGGAGTTCTCATACCTGTGCTTCTTGCACCATGGATGACTACCTGATGTTTGCTTTGTTGACCCTGTTTGTGCTATGGGGTCCTCTTCTCCGTTTCCTTTTTCCTCTTGGATTCCACCAAACGTGTAGTATGGGTGTGACCATGAGATCTGGTAGGACTATAAAGCTATATACAGCTGGAGAACAGGCAGAAATTGACAGGAAGTTGGCAGAGAAAAAGGGAAAAAAGGAGAAAAAAAGGAAGAACGAAGAGGAAGTAAAGAAGAAGTTGGAGGAGGAGAGAAAGTTGTTGGGAGATGAAATGAAAAAGAAAGAGGAAGAGTTCAAGAGAGAAATGGAGGAGGAAGGAGAAGACGGCGACGAAGAAGTACTGGACTATGCCGGCCAGTTAGACAATATTTTTACAGAGAAACTGACAACCACCATTGCATCAGCTAGGTTGAGCAGTGGCGATGGAGGCGGAGATGGTGGCGATGACGGTGATGATGATAAAAATAGAAAGGGTCCCAACAAAGATTGGGGAAAGGGAGGTGAAGAAGACAAGTCTGAGGGAGGAAAGAGGAGAGAGAAGATGAAGGTTAAATTCCCTTGGACTCACATTGGAAAGACTCAGGAGAGTATATTCCAGTGGGAGGCAGGTGACCTATGCAATCAGACTCCCTTCCTTTTCCACTCCTCATACATGCAAACAGATGGTGATTCACACTGGCACAAATCGCACACTCAAAGAGATATGGAAACCGAGAACAAAGTTCTGATGCAAATCGCTTCAACAGGTTATGGTGCATCGGCGCCTGCTCATTCCAACTCTCGTCACTGTGTCCAACACCACCGTTCGCACACACTCAACTCTGGATCACCCTGAATACCCCACACACATCCGCTGTATCACACACACATACACATTGAAGTCTATCTCTGATCTACAGCGGCTATGGCCTCTCAACTACTACTGGCTATGGCTACACTATCTTCCTTCAGCCCACTTCGACTTCGGGCGACCTGCAGACCACCTCGCACAAGACGCTGTGGCAGCGCTTCAGCATGGCTTACGCAGCAATGAATGAATGGCTGGGCGCTGCCTCTTGATTTATACTTTTGTAGGTCGTTGGTCTACCCTTTTCCACCGGGCCCATGGTGCACACAGTCCCTCATGGTACTTGCTGACTGTGCAAAGTGAGACTGGGATTGGGTACCGCTGACTAAGCGAAGTTGGACTCACCACTTGCCCACTTGCCTCTACCTAAGCGCGAGAAACTCTCGAAAGGCCACTTCCGGATCTTCCGGAAGTTTGTGGACTTGACCTTTCGGGAGTGTAGCAGCTACAACCTTGACCTTTCAGGACTGTAGCAGCTACGGCGCCAGGGCTTGGCGCCCAAAACGGTCTGGCGCCTAAAGTTGGCGCCCAAATTCGAAAAGGACGAATTTGAAAAGGGCCTGAAAACGGCCTGGCATCTACTGGGCCTATACCGGGTCTGGCGCCAAAACGGGCGCCATGGCCTACCTACGGCCTACTGACCTACCTAGGCTGAAACGACATAGGCATGACGGGCCTCTACCTAAGCTGAACCTACAAAGGGCCCTTCAGCCCCTTACCTAAACCCTGTCCTGCTTGGTCGGGCCCTGCGGGGGCTAATGTGGTGCTCAGTATGCCCCCCCCCCCCCCCCCCCCCCCCCCCCCCCCCCCCCCCCCCTTGAAAGACTGAGCATACGTGCGAGAGTGGAGTTGTCTGTTGGAGGGAGGGATCGAAGTCCGGGTAGGAG